GTGGGCCTTTTCTGGACTTTCTCCAACAAGTTCATGTCTTTCCTGTACTGAGAAAACTAACAATTACTAGGTTCAGAATAAAGGAGCTATAAAAAGCTGCCAAACTTAGATGAGCTGAAAGAAAAGCTTTATTTCTAAAGCTACACAAAGGGAATGACATAAGCTGTGACTGATGAGGTGTGTCTGAAAGGTTGACAGTTATCAGGCAAATGGCATTTCACTCCTCTTGTCAGTGATGATGGAGCCCAGCTCAGCATTACAAGCTACAGAAGCTGATCTACTTTTTCTTGGAAGTGTGGTTTCCTCCTTTTTAGGAGGAAAAATATGAAACAAAAATATTTTGATTCTTTGAAAATACATGTTTTACATGGAACAGCTATCTATGTATTCCTACTCTTAGAGCCAGTAATGGGAGGGATTAGTCTTAAGTCAGTATTTTCCTTCATTTTTTCTGTCTGACTTGTAAGTTCCTGGCTCCTTTTTTGCATCACGGAGATGAGCTTACAAAGCAGTTGTGATGCCTTTTGCCATTATGAATCTGCCAAACTTCTTCCAAAAATAGGAAATTATGCAGTACAGTCATCTTTGCTCCTTACTTTGGAGTTTATACTGGAAGATCTGGACTTTGAGGCTGATCTCATGTCCAAAGACTAAAAATTCTGTTTGCAGCGGCAGAGCAGAACTGGGTATGTAGTCCATGGAAAGTGATTTGAGTATCTAAAGGAAGGCGTACTGCTCTTTATATGGGACAGTATTTGTGCCTGGTAATTTTTTTTTAAATAAGACCTAATCTGGTAAATAATACATTTCATGAAATTTAAAGTGAATGAAACTTTGAGTGAAATCCAACGAAATTTTAAAAGAAAGAAAAGAAAAAAGAAAGAAAAAGATATAACAAATATACATGGGGGGGAGAAATAAACCCATTTCGACTGTAAGAAGGATTATGTACTATAATGGTTATTTGTACACACAGAAATAAATGCCAAGGCTTAGGTTCTGTTTAGCTGTTTAGGGCAACAGAGCTAATCTATGAATAATGAACCAGCATATCAAACTAGTGGGTTGTCCTAACATCTATCATTGAACCCTACCCGAGATATTTGGAAGCAGAACATTAAAAATGAATGTCATCTGGCAGCAGCCAGATCACTACCAGAGTTAAAATAGCTCTGGACATGTAGTTCATGGTGTGTGATATACAAGTGGTGCATATCCGTTTACTGGGGGTGTTGTAGTGGGGAGGTTGTTTGAGCTAATGACTGTGCATCACATACTTCAGCACTCAGCTCTTGGGTCACAGATAAAAGAAACTACATTAGAAATATATTAATTTATATTTATGATTACTGTTATGAGATATGCAGGATTTAGTTGTTCACGTTGCTAGTTATTGTCTGAATGTCATAGCAGGCATAAGAAAAGCGTATTGTTTGAGTGAGGTCACTTACCCCTTTCTTTCTTTGGTGGTGGTGTGTGGTAGGTTGAGATGTGTATTATACTTTGCATTTGAAACCTGTTCGTTTGCATTTGTACGTTATGCCATAATGATTTAAAAAGTTTCTCCTCCAGACAAAAGCATGTTTTGCCTGAGGTTTGTAGAATTAAAAAAGGTAGCTTTTAAGTCTCTGATACTGTTCTTTTTACTGAGTTGCCTTAGCGGTAACCACTGTAAGTCAGTGAACCCTCTTACAAAGAATTGCAGCAGGAGGCCTCAGAGTTGCAGAAGTAATAAAATATGATCTATTGAAATGGAAATGAAGAGAACAATCTTACAGTCTGGAAAACTCGCTTGATAACAAAAGACTGGTTTTATTTTTGTTATTATCTCAGGCTCATTTTTTATCTAATCACATCTGATTCTTTCAGTTATTTGTTGTCTTTTGTCTATTCACTATAATTTCAGTGATATTTTATCAGTGTCCTACATCTGATGTAGTTTCAGACATCTGACTCCTGTTTGCCTTTTTGCATCTTTCTTTGTCAGGTGTAATCTAATCTTCTAATAACGACTTTGAATTTATATTTATTTGATATTATCTGCCTAGCCTTTATCAATTTTCCCTTCTTACTGAATTTGTAGATTTTGATGAAAAACTTTTTTAGATTTATTTCACAAGAGTGACCAGGAGTTCCAGGCATGAAATAAGCCTCCACCGTTGAACAGACTGTACCTATGTTAACAAAATTATCTCTTTAACTTTTCAGCTATTTCCATGTCACATAAGATGCACAGAATAGAAGGCAAATGATGGTTTGAATTCTCACTCACATTCAGAAAGCCTTGCTGATTGATTTTAACTTGCATCAAGCAGCACATCACCGAAAAAACTGAAATGCTTTTAACAGTTCAGCATTGCTGACTTTTTAATCCTCATTCGTGCAGAAGTGCTATACTTGTGCAACACTGGAGGGAGAGAAAACCAGCAAAACTTAATTTGCAAGTAAATCAAGTAGTTGTAATTGCATTTATAGGGGGAGCAAAGCTGTTTAGCAAGTAGGAGCATGTGCTATTTTGCAAATCACAACTTTGCTCTAAGGTGAGAAGAAAACCAATCACTATAAAAATATTCAGTTTATTCTTTGTTTCTTTGTATTACTGTTGCTTGTAACATCTGTAATGATGAAAGAGGATTCCTCTCTGGGAGATTATGCATGAACAAAGAACCAAACTGCAATTCTTTCTTCAAAGAGCTTTCGCTCTCACGTTTTTTGCTTCCTGTTCTTTATTTCTACCCATGTTTTTGCCATAATTTAGGATATTCTGACTTGTAATGCATTTATGGAAAAAGAGTTAAAAATATTTGTCTGACTTGCTATCTAGTTTCATGCTTCAAGCCCATGCCCTGAATGACAGCAAGGCTGTGCAGGTTAATGAATCTAGAGGCAAAGGTGAGGAAGATAAAGAAATTCCCCCCCCCCAAACAATTTTTGATTGACTTGGGCAATACAGTCCCACCCCCCATAACCCTCAAGTTACCAAAAAAGGCTTTGTTTTTAAAACCAAAAAGTTGCCAGAAGTTTGAAAGATCTTTTCTCATTAGCAGGATTTGATTCTTATGCATTTTAGCACTGTGCTCTGCCACCTTCTATTCCATCAAGTAAGCTAGCAGATGCTACCTTCAGAGGCAGCATAATCTGCTTTACATCCACAGACATTATCAAAGTCAGAGAAATTATTTTTTTTTTTATATTCTGTATTAGTAAACCCCTAATAAGTTACTGGGGCCAGGAAAAAAAGAAAGCATTTTTCAAGTCTGCTGTAACTAATAGCGACAAAAAAATTAATATAAAGTCTATTGTAATGGAAAAATATTGTTATCTAAATAGAGATAATATTCCTCATAATGGACTCCAAAGTCTTCTATCCTTTATCTGAGGGGATACTTCTGGATATTCCCCAAATGAAAACAGCATCTTCTGTGGTGACACATAATAACTATAGAAACAAATAACATCCACTGTGGTTAAATTAATGAAAGGCTTTTTTTCCGAAATGCTGTGGGATGTTATTTCTGTTTCAGAAACGAATTCTTGGCTATGTTTCTGATTTCCTCCCTTCCCCTTCTACTCTAAACAGTTGCTCAAATTCAGTGCCTCATAGATTAAAATGTACAACTCATGTAAAAGCTCAAGTAAATACTGAAGCTGTAGATTCCGTGTTTGCAATAGGATCAGGCAGAAGCGTGTAATTCCTGTGTTATTCCACTGTTCAAAGTTGCTCTGTGTTGCAGATTTGAAAACTGTATTAAAAAAAACCAACTTAAACCCCCCACACTCGGTCTTTTAATGTATATTTTATTGGCTGACACAGAATCAGTGTAATCTTTTCTAATGTTTTTCTGGTTCATTGCTAGGTCCATCAAAACAAACAAAAAGCCTTTCCACCTACTTTAAGTGAAGTTGGATCTAGTCACTCCATCTGACAGTTTTTCATGATGGTCACGTGTAATGAGCTTTACATCTTAATATGTTTGCCTTAAGAAAGTGCGCGGGAATAAGTATGACTTGAACTCCTATGTAGACAATAATGAAATAATCTATTTTGCTTTCTATTGAGAAATTTTGGGTAGTCAACACAGTGCCTGTATAGGGAGAAGATAGATGAAATGCATAGGTAAAGTCCTAAGTGTGTCTGAAAAGCCACTACTTTGTAAAAAAGCATAGGGAATGGAGAGTTATCACAGGTCACAAGTCTGTGTGTTTAGGTGAAGAAAATTACTGTCAAGTGTCAATATAAAATGGAATTTGATTGCTTTGGAATTAAGTGGTGCTGTTGTTCAGCTCCAACAAGTATATAGTGTTTTTTTCACTTCAAATTCCAGAAGACACATTTATTTATCAAAAGAAATGGATCATGATGATGAATTCTTCTTCTCACCAAGATCACAGAAATAAGAGATCTCTTTGGCTGCGTGTTGGTCAGTAGCACAGACCAGACTGACTTCACAGCCCGCCTTGATACTGCTGTGCAGGAGCAGCTTTGGTACCATCTAGAGATGGAAGTGCCAGAGTGTCCTCTAGATCAGCTTTGGCAGCCGGAAGTCAATTCAAGCTCTGGGATAAAATTTTTTGGTTTTATGGGGCTGAGACAGAAGCACACCAGGCTCCAGTCTGCTTGCAGCAGCTACCATTTAAAGCATGGCCTTAATTTACATATGTTAATCCTGTTGCTCCAACATCATATCATCTTCCTCTGAATATAAAATTTGATTACTGTTTGCTGATTCCATAGTGCTAAGTTCCACCGTGCCCACTGCAGTTGTTGCAAAGCACCCAAAGCCAAGTTACTCAGCTTTTACTAAGGCACACAAAGGTTTGCAACGTAGCATGTTTTGAACACCTTCAGGTCTGAGCATCTTTGTGTCTCTTCTGGATTTTAAAACCACCTGTTAAGCTTTTGTGATGGTGAAGTGATTTCTCTGCCATTCTTCCTATATTTTGTAAAGTTTCTATTTCTTGTAAAGATCTTTCATTCTTTAATTTTCTGTTTTCTTTAGGGAACAGCAATATTACAGTCTGGAGTCTTACCAGCTATACCAGGTAGGAGCCATTTAGTTATTTGCTTTGTTAAAGAATAATGTTTAAGTCCCAAATTATGATGAGAGAAACAGATCTGTGGAAGCAGAACTAAAGACTATATTGAGAAGTATCCTATTTGTGGTCAGTTTTACTGCTGGAATTCATGACGGACAACTGTGAAATACATTGTAATGTGTAATATCTTTGGTTTCAGAGATTAATATGTTTGTTTTTCTGTTACTTTTGTAATCTAAAGAGGTTCAAAATTGTTGGTTTCCATATAAATTTTTTTAGTGTTTTTTTCTACTTACATAATCGATGAGAGAAAAGAAAATGTTCTTTTTAGGCTATATTAACACTAAGGGGAAAACTTGATTTATATGTTCAGTGTGTATACCCAGTTTTTAAAATAGCATACCAGAGCCAACATGGAGATGCTTCTCTTACGTCAGTGGAACTACTGTTTGACCAACAAAATTGGTCAAGGGAGGAAGCTGAGTATCTGGCCTGGCAAGCTTATTTAGGCAAAGGTAACGTGGTGACTATCTTTGCACTGTAAATCTGTCTATCAGTAGAACATGTTGGCCATCTGGTTTTCTCTGTTGTAGCTGAACTGGTCTGGGACCTTTTGTATCATCATTTTATTTCAAAGATGGTAGTTTGTAAGCTGTTGGTTTTGTGTACTGTCTCCATCTTATTACTTTGAGAGATCTGTCCAAAGAAGTTTTTTTGTATCTTAAACATCTTTATATTCCTGAAACTGCTTACCTGATAATTCAGCAGATCCATTAAATTTCTCAGATTCCTGCTTCCAATAGAAATAGAACAGCTCTTTGTTCTTGGGTCTCTTTATTACTTTTAAAAGCCCTGGCAAATGCATAAAGAAGTAAATCTGGTTGATACCTGTGTGAACAAATCCAGTAAGATACCCAAGATCAGGAGGAGCCTCTGGAGAAGGTCACAAGTACCTCAGTTCCTTTGTCTGTCTTAGCCGGAGGTAATCCAGAAGCATCCAGCAGATCTTGTTCCTAGTTATTCCGCTTGAGTCAGTGGAATTACTCTTGATTTATAGAGGTGTCAGTAGAAGCACAAATTGGATCATTAACTCTAATTTTATCTTTCCTTCTGGTACTCGGGTTTCTAGTCTTCCAATCAACGCAAGGAAAACAGAGTAGTTATGATTAAAGTGTGTGTAAATGCAGGGGAACTTGGGTCTACAGCTGTGTATGGTGGGCACAATATTATTTCTGCATTAATTTCAGTGGCAAATTAATTGTGGATGCAAACAATATATGATAAAAACTTAATCTCAGTGTATTCATGCAGATGAAGGAATTAGCTGTTTTGTTTAAAAATATTAAGTGAATTAGATGTGTGGAAATAAAGGACAGATTTTTAGATCAGCAGAAAGGGAAGATACAAGAGTGCAGAAATTTGAGTGGGTGGGTTTTAATGTCTGGTACACTGCAAAAACGTTGTTTAAGAAAAGCAGCATCTAATGCCAGTGACTGAAGTTTTTAGCTATCTTTGTGAGGTTTCAGCTCTCAAATATTCTCATTGTATACCTATAGAACTTTATTCTTCCATACCACACTATTTTTCATAATACAAGAGAAATACTTATGTTCTCTGTCTTATTGTCACATTTTTATTATCCTCAGTTAATAATAATAAAGTATTGTCTTTTATATATGTGAACATTTCAAGTATAATTGAACTTTGCCTTGCAAAGCTTTCAAAATAGTACTGTAGCCTTTGAATGTATTGCTTCCACCATCTTTAATCCAAGCAATTGACTGAAGGTCCCTGGGTGCTGAGCAATCATTAAAAGAGTTCTGTTGGGCTGAAGGAACAGCTCTAGAACTTTTCTCTGTTTCTCTATTATGATTTTTAATGCATTGTTGAAGATAACATGAGGGCACACTAATCTGGGGTAACTGCTTTCAAAACCTGTCTTCAGCATGCACATGGCAAGATACCTCTACGAACATGAATGATTGTACAATGATCCAGTTCATAGTTAAACTGTTTGCTGGTGTAGCAGTCCACTTAGTCATAATCCTTTCTGTGATAAAACAGAAATGTGTTTGTATTGTATTTGCATTCAAATACATGGCACAAATACAAACCCACTCCCAGTGCTACAGGTGCCCACATGTTCTGTACAATATTTTTGCTCTTTAATGCCTCCGTTCTGCAGCAAGAAATGGAGTTAAAGAGGCAGAATCAAGTGTTTAAATATTTTTCAGTTTATTGGTAGTGAATGTGGATGATATTCTTTTTCTACTTTCAGTTATGTATGCTGAGTAATAGACTTGGCACCTTCAGAAAAATGTGTCTAATGTTAATGGCAAGTGTTTGTGAATGTGGAAACAATTCCGAATTGTATTATTAGATGGAAAAAAAACAAGTTGGGGTGAATCATTTGAATCTGGTTTAAATAATTTGGTTGCCTTTGTTATAAATAACTTTGTAAAGATTGATTAGAGAGACTGAATTAGATTGCCTGCATTTGTAGGAGGAAAAGTGTTCCCATTGTTATCATTGCTTTGTACTACAGAGCAAGGTAAGGGATTCTTGGAGTTGTGTGATGTGGCAATGCCTGCTCTTAAGTATAATAGACTGCATTTATGATTATTATGGGCCTTAAAATACCACGATGGGATAGAGGTTCAAAAATGTGATTCAGATTTCCTGATTTCTGAGACTGTGCTGGATTTAGTACTTCTGGTCTAAGAAGTTCTCACGGGAGCTATACAGAATTTCTCATGAATGCTTAAGTAATTGTGTGGCATGATCTAGTGGATGCAATTTCAGAGATATGTATGTAGGTCATTTCCTCAGAAGCTGCTTATGTTTTGAATTAGGGGATCAGGAATGAGATGCACATTCGGTGTTGAGGGGCGGCACCAAAAGACAGTGCGTTCCTTCACAGAATGGGGAGCTAAAGAGCTGGTCATTATCTTGTTTGTCTTTCTGATACTATAAATCAAAGTCCTGTAGGAAAAACAGGGCTGAAGGGGTTGTTGAGCTCAAGCCTCTGCCTTGAGGTTAGCACGTACTTCTGTATGTATGAAACGTATTTGTTTAGCATGTTCTGCAATGAGAATCCTTAATCCACCTTATATCATCCAAAGTCCTTTGCTATTCCTACATTTAGAATGTATTTCCTAACAGTTGTGGTGTTTCTCACTGCGATTTAGGCCTGTTATGTAAATCTTGTGCTCCTTTCTAGTTCATTGCAACAGCTTAGATAGGAACATCCAGCTCTAACTTATGTCTTCATGTTCTCCTTCAAAAGAATGGAATTTTTTCAATTGAGTAGAACTCCGTCACACCTCTCCTTTTTTTTTTTTTGAATGGTGTTTAAGCCATGAAGTTGTTTTTTCGGGGGAAATGCTACTATTTCTGCCCTTAGTTGCCAGCCCTTTCAGGTGAACTGAGCAGTCTGAATCCCAAGACTCTTATTTAGAGAAGGTAAGTTGAGAGCTGGAATGGGTTTGCAGAAGTACTTAGGGACCCTCTGCAATCGCTGGAGAAGGCATTTCATGCAGGCTTTGTGCACCACATTTTAGAAACTTTTGTCCATTCCCATTAGCCACAGGGAAGCTGATTATCTAGGCATTTTCAGGAGCCAGACCCAATCTTGGGCATTTCAACACTCAAATTAAACTTATTTCTGTTCTTTTCTGTCTGTACAGTTCCATTTTTTTTTCCATATTCCACAGGAGCAAACTCATCAGCATTGCAACTGACACTCTTGCTACCTGACAGCCTCTTTGCTTGTAATATCAAACCTACACAATGCTTGATGGGAAATATTCTGAGAGGGTGAGTTAAGGAATAAACATAAAACAGTGCTGTGGGTTGGAATTCAGCTGAAATGTCAGCTGAATGCTGATTATCAACACTGTATCTCTATTAAATTGTTCTTAGGTAGATAGGGCGTCAAGGTAGGGAGATAAAAAGAAAGAATAAAATTAAGTTTATAACAGGTGATGGGTGCTGAAAATGAACTCAGCTGTCTGACAGTTTAGCTTTTATGGTGGAAAAATAGGCTTTCTTGCATGCATTTTTAAAGTTTTTATTGCAAACCTATGCAGCCTGATTCTTCTGTTCCAAGCTTAGGAGTAAGCTTTCAAGGAATTAATTGAGAGCAGTGAGAAAGAAGAATCTGGGCCATACTATGTTGGTGGTTGTTGCTTAGGTTGAAAAAAATTTATAATTCACAACTTTTGTTTTTCAGGAAATGTGTTGTCAGCTCTTTTGATGTAGGAAGACAAAGTACACTGTGCTACTTTTCCTGAGCCAATAAAGGACTGCGTGCTGAACAGTGTCCACCATACATGTCATACCTCATAGGGTTAAACACTGTAATAGGAGAGCATTATTATAATGAGAAACTGATTAATACAACTCTGCCATAATATGACATGCTCTGTCTTGATTGTGCTTTGTTTTATAAGTGCACTCAAAATAATTCTGTAGGGTAAAAAAACCAAGAGCTCAGAGAAAGTGGTTTAAGTAAGCTGATTAAAATAGGGATTACATTTACAGGCTAAACTCTGAATTACAAAGGTCTTGACGTGAAAGGGGGAAAAAAAGTCACTGCAGTGAAACGACGTACTAGTGAATGATCCAAATGCTGCTACTTCATCCTCTGGGCTGAGTCCAACAGGTTTCTGTTTCCTGTTTTGGGAGTGACAGAAGGTGGTAGGTCCATGCTACAGTGACCCTCTAGTCCTGCCTTTTCTGTATTTCTGATTTGCTTCCCCATGCCTTCTCTGACACTGAAATTATATATCCTAACCTTCTAGAACACGAAGGTGAGGAACCGTATTTGCAAACATAGTGATTATTTCAGCTTTTTATTTTCCTATTAAGGAAACACATTATGTGACCTTTGTTCTTGGCCAATGCAGATCCTGAGCTTCAAATGCATCAGTATTTTTGGACTAAGTATCTGTAAAGCATCTTTGAAGGTGTAATTTCCAAAGAAACATTCAGTTCCCTGGTATGGGAAAATTGTAATGATTCTAGCTTAACACTTTTGCCTTTTAAAGGATGGGAGGCTGGTCTGGAGTGGCCCTACAGCATGGGAAGATGAATAATAGCTAGAGAGAGGCATATCCTCTGTGAATCTTTTGGACACACTAATCACTTTGAAAATTGAAGAGTAACAAACGTAGGGAAGTTCTGTAGGGCAATTATACATCACCAGGAAGTCTTTTATTACATTTACATGAAGAAACCTTCTGGTGTACTTGTCGTATTTCTCCTGTCAATCGGTACCTCTAGGCTTTGGGTGCTCCTTTAAGCAAAGTATTTGTTTTCAAAGGAGGAGATGGAAATGTTGCTTGGCTGAGCAGATCAAAGTACTTTGTATAGAGGTAGTTATAATTCAATAAGAAGCAAGAATTTATCATGGAACATTGTGTTTTCTTCTGTCCTGACTCTTTGTCAGCAAATTTAATAGCCCAGACCTGCAGAGTTTGTGACCTGCTCCGTGAAGGCAAAGTAGAGGCTGGGCAGTACGAAGTGACCACCTGGTAAGTGCAGTGTAGTGTTCATGTGTCTACTCACTGGCCATGTGACAGGATCTGAAAATGTAAACTGTCTGGGCTCTGTTTATAGCATGTATTCCAGCTTCCCTCTCATTTGTTAAGTTTTTTATACGGCTCTTTCTTGTAGCACACGTGCTGTAAACTGCTTATTTTGAAGAGTGGACATTAAAGAAATTACTATGAAGTTAGAAAAATGTTTCAAATAGTGGTTGTCTTCATTGAGCTACATCAGGCATTTGAGTTTGAGGAACGCAAAATGTTTTTCAGCATATTTTCATTTTGTCACATTTTGAACATCTTCTTCCTCTTACACACTGAGGAAAGCAAAACAGGAACAACTCTTGATGAGCTACTCAGTTTTAACAGAGTTGAGCGAGTCAGCCACACAGCATTGGATGGCAAACGAAACGGAAAAAAATTATTCTTAACAACCCCTTGTAAGATGAAAAGAAAGATGGGAGGGAGCATCTGTCTCCTGCTGGATGCTTTGTATGTACAGAAATTTATCTTGCTAACTTGCTTTTTCCATTCCTGCAAGTGTTATCCTAGGATTCATAAACAAGAAACAAACCAGTTTATATGGTAGCTGTAAAAAAGAAGGAAGAAAATATCTAGGTCAGTCTCTGTTGATGTGTGTTTATGTGATACAGCTCAAAACTTCAGAAAAAATTCCATGAGAGATTTGACTATGTAAATATTTGTTAGTTGCCAGATTTGAAAATGAAGAAAATGCGACATGTCAAATCCTGAAGCATCAACATAGTGCTTTTAAATGAGCTCCAAATGTGAAAACTTCAACTTGACCATAAATGGACAATCTTACTGTTTTAAATCTCTTGTCCTGTCCTGTGTGTTTTTCACAAATCCCAAAAATGTTGCCTGAAAATTCACATTTCCTCTGGAATGAT